CATCAATGTCATCCTCCAGGTCTTGGGGGGGGGTGGGGTGCGGGTGGGGGTGGGGGTGAGCCATGTGCAATGTGCAGCACGTGGGCGGGAAGTATGCGTGTTTGTGCCAAGCCATACGCGGGGAAGAGTCTGCTGTGTCTTTGACACACGTGCCCGGAGGTCAGAGTCCCCCAAGACCACTCGCCGCGGCTGCAGCCCAAAGCAAGCGGCGCGCGCCGAGGTAGCCGAGAGCCATGCAAGCGGCAGCGCGCGGCGTGGCCAGGCACACGCGCTGGCTGATGTGGTGCAGCCCAGCGCGCGGCGGCGGCCCCTCACCCCCAGCGCCGAAGAGGCTCTCCTTGAGCTGCTGTGCCCCCATGGCGCGCCCCGGCTCGTCGCCGCGCCGCTTCAGGCGCTTGTTCTGCTGCGCCGGCCGGCGGACCTGCGCAGCGAATGAGAGCGGGGAGGGGGTGGGGGGAGGAGGGCACGCCCACAGCGGCGGGTCTGGGAGATGGGGCCTGCCTTGAGCAACAAACTACCCCACTTGTCGAGCTCATGAAAATCATACACATGCAACTCAAACACAACACACAGCCTGCAGCTGCACAGCAAAGCCAGCGGCCGCCGCCAGGCTCGACGCGTCCGGATCCAAGGGCTGACCGGACGCGCCCTCTGCGAGGTCCCGCCGAGGCGGCAGCCCCCAACCGCGGCACCACTGCAGCGGCCATCGCCAATAAAAAAACGGCAAGAGGGGGCTCGTCGGTGACGCCCTGTGACATCATCATGACTCACCATGACCTGGTTGTCCTCCAGCAGGTCGTAGTCCTCCTCGTCCAGCCGGTACTCGCGCGCGCTCTTGCGCCGCTTGCGCTTCTTGCGCTTGCCGCCGCCGCCCGGCGCGCCCCCGGCGCCGCCGCCCTCGCCGTCATCGCCGCCGCCCGACTCCTCATCCTCTCCGACCAGGAAGTCGTCCTTTGTGTGATGGACAGAGGTTGCAACACTGGCTGTATCAGAGCCATCCGTCCATTTGGTGCTTTCGGGCGAGTGGGAACGCTGAGGCGGTGCTGGCCGCAAGGTGGCACGCTCTTACACAATGGGGCGGCCCAGCCTGCTTGCGTTAGCCGCATGCTGGGCGCTCCAAAGACATGTGTGCATTTGAGAAAGACGTGTGCTGGCACGCTCAGAGCTGCACATGGCAGGGCTGGCTGCGCCGCTATTGCCGCATGCTCCTTCTGGGGTGGGTGGGTGCATCAACAGCGGCGTTCACACCCGGTGCTGCTGGATCGCATACGGCCGTGGCGCGCGCACCTGCTCGTACTCATCAGGTCCCTCCTCATCCTCTTCGCTGCTGTCCTCTGCGGAAGCCTCCTCATCGCCCCCATCGTCCTCGCCTGCTGACGCCTCTGCCTCACCCCCTTCAGCGCTTGCCGGCTCCTCAGAGCCCTTTTCTTGCTCTTGAGCCTCAGAAGCCGGATCCTCAGACTCCGCCATTCCCGCTGCTGATCGCGCCGGAGCGGGTGATCTAGGTTAGTGTCCGCTCATGCGAACGAGCTTCACGACAACATACAAGCAATCGTGATGCTGAAGCAGCATCGGATAAAGCGGTCCCGGCTTGCACCGCAAGTTCAAGCGCCGCAACAGTACTGCAGTCATGCAGCTGCGCCCCGACCTGCCCAGCCGGACGCGCCGCCCGTCAACTCGTCCCGCGGTAGCCAATCCAGCTCGAGCCGCGCCAAAGAGCTTACTGGACTCGCTGCGCGGCATTGAGTCAAAGTCCACGGTGCTCCCTGATTGGTAAAGGATTCCTGATGATGCAGGCAGCGGGCCTCCGTTGCCCCTGCCTTGTGCTCTACCAGAACTTCGCCGTCACCCCTACTGGAGTGCCGCACTGGCAGCGTCAAGGCCTTTTGCAGATCGATTACACACTGTGTCATTCGCTATCACGTCATGCATTGGCAGCATTCATTGAGACAAGTGCGCCAAGGATGTTGTCTCACTGAACCCCCTGCCCCAACGCGAGACCAGCACCGCCAAACCGCAACCACAGCCGCAATCAAACCCGCAGCGCCCATTGGCCACCAAAGGCTTCCTGGAGACGTGCGCAGCAGGCCTTGCCTTCCGGCAAGGTGGAACAAACACGGCACTTGGGCAGGTATGTCCTGGGGCATGCGTACGCAGCGGGCGCCGGCTGGTGCACAGCATGCACATGTATGTATGGCAAGCTGCGTGTGACGAGGCACGGAGATGATATGCCTGAGCTTATGAAAGAGCCGCACGAACGCATAATATTGTTTGGGCGCAGAGGCATCAAGACACTCTGCTGTGGCTTGTTGCAACAGGGTGAAGCGTAACAGGCACGTGTGCAGGTGTGTGCACATCCAACCTGGCTGCTCGTACTTGCCGCCGGAGTGCCGTGCTGCGTGCTTCCTGAGACACGGCAACGGCCTTTCTTACAGCCTAATAAGCGATGCACGTAATGAAGGAGAGGATGTTGCAAGGCGGGCGTGCTGATGCGATCCATGTGCTACTGGTAGAGCTGGTTAACCCGGTCGAACCTCGAAAATTGGCGGAACCGTCGGTAAACCCGGCGCAAGTGTTGGCAGCAACCAATCCCGTTGATTCGCTGCCAGTCCACACACGAGCGAGTATATCAATAACACCCGCTTCCTGGAAGGACAGCAAGATGGTGCCTCCCAGCATGCCTGTGAAGTTGCGGGCCAGAACGGCGCCCCTCCGCGACTCAATCGGCAGGCCGGTGGGAACACCATACAATGTGGGAAAATCGGCAATCTGGTCGGATGCAGATATGGATAGGAACGCGTGAACCTGCACCAGCCCCGTCGGCCGGTTGATGGAGGCACTGCACAAGGCGTCAGCACCAGACCGGCCACCAAGGTTTCCGTTCCTTTCTGTCGAAGATTCACGGTAGACCACCACCCGCGAGCGCAGGTACTGTGCGGCAGGCACGCCCCCCAGGCTGACTGCGTTGATGCTGGCCAGGTCTGCGGTTTTCGCGTAGACGCTCAAGTCGATAGCAGACACATTGGCCACGGTGGCTGCCAGGGTGGCGAGGCTGGTGTTGACCGACGCGATGACTGCCGCGCCTGTGGTGACTGTGGCCTTCAGGGACTCCACGGTGGTGTTGGCCAGGGAGACCACCGCAGCATTCGCCGCCTGGACCGACTGGATGGTGGCCAGAGAGGTGTTGACAGCCGACAGCTCGGAGCCGCAGGCGCACTGCTGCGAAGAAGACTTGAGCGCGGCGATGTCCTGGGCTGTGGTCTGGTTTACCGCCTCCAGCAGGGCCAGCTTCTGGGCGGTGCGTGTGTCGGCCGCTGCAAGAGCGGCGAGCTCCTGCGTGATGGTACTCAGGTTGGTTGTGTTGGCCGAGTTTGCTTGCAGCTTTTGCACGTTGGCAGTGAGCGTCGTGAGTGCCGCCCTGAGAGCATCCATCTCTGCGAGCAGCGCCGCCGTCTGGTTGTTGCCTTGGACAAAGGTGCCCTGCAGGGAGCTGGCCTGGGCGGCGGCGGCGTTGACCTTGGTCTCAAGAGCTGCCATGTCGCTGGACACTCTGTTGACCTGTGCTGTGGTCGCCACGCCGCAGCCATAGCGCAACTTGGTGGGGTCCTGGGTGAGTGGAAGTGTGCCGGTTGTTTCAAGCAAAGAGCAACCAGTCTGGTGATTGGGCACCTTGCCACATGTTGGCCGAAGTGTTTAGTGCCGTTGCAAAAGGTGTAGTTGCCCTCACCCACGAACAACCAAGCAAGTCACCACAGTATTGTCACGCCTGTTTGCCACCAGACCTGCACACACCAGACACCTGCCCGTGCACAAGAGTTTTCGTGTGCATGCGTTGTTCTGTGTGTATATGCATGCGTGCGTGCACTTGTGTGCGTGCGTGCGTTTGTGTGAGGGCACGCACCTTGCTGTCGGCCGTAGCGTTGGCGGGTGCCAGCAGCTCGCTGCACAGCTGGTCCATGAGGGCGGTGGGGCCGGCCTTGGAGGTGCACGACTTGACCAAAGCCTTGACAGGCGCGCACTGAATGGGGATGTTCAAGGAAGTAAGGGTTGGTTCATGCCAACAACACGGGATGCTGGCTTCACACAATGCAGACACACAGCCAGCCCGGTTGATGGGGCAGGCCGGCATTTTCACGATATTTCAAGACAACACGCCAAAATGCACGGCCGCCATGCTGGGGCTGAGTACGCAGCTAGCTGGTGCACCCAGGCCGTGCGTAGCAGGCAGGCGGCACTCACCACCGCCAGCTTCTGCTTCTTGGGGGTCGCCTGGGGGCTGCGGGGGACGCCACGAGGGTCGGAGCAGCGGAAGGAGGGCGGTGCACGGGTCAGCATGAATGGTGTGCATTGCCCGTATAGCCAGCTAAAGAGGAGGCGTGCAGATGCATGCATTGTAGGTATATCAGCTCGCTGGGGTGGCAGCATTAGCGCGCCCATCAGTCGTCAGGCTGATGGGGCAAGTTACTTCCATGTGCGGAGGATGGGGCCTGTTGGTGCACGGCAGTAACTGTTCCCCCACTACTGATTGGATGCTTGTGCGCCATACATGTCCTGGCACTCGCTTCGATCAGAGCCCCCTGCACACCCCCGACCGCGCATCCCTGCAGCATGCGCACCTGGCACATACGACCGCTCCCAGCATGTTGAGAAGCAGCAGTGTACCCGCCAAAGGCATGAGAGACCTCCGTATGCACCGCATGCTGGGCCCGGCGACGTCCACAAACGACTCGAGCGTCGATGGTTCGCGCCAAAAGAATTGTTGGCCGCAAAGGAAGTGAGACATAAAAGTGGCAGCGCAGATCAAGTTTGTATTTTTCCACCTTGGCCACACACTTGCCACTGCCCCCGGTGAGACGGTGGCTGCGTGACGGCCGACCACGAGTCCACTACCGGTGCTGCCAGTGCCGATCGGCTGCAAATCTATATGTGCGAGTCACCGTTAGCAGAGATCGTCACACTACCAGTCAAAAGTCCTGCCTCGTGTTGAGATCGTGGCTTTGCTGATCAGCGCGCGAACCATCGATGGCGGGCCCGCCCAGAGGAACACACGCAGAGATTTCCAGGTCACATCAAAGATATGGTTGGCGCAGGGCTCCGAGGTGAATGATGCGCCTGGGCCACCGCCTTGGTCACGGTCTATAAGTAATCCTTGAGATGAGCAAGCGCAGCGAGTGTGTGTGTTGCTTAAAAATGCGGACGGAGTGCCCGAGCCTTCATGTCAGGGCAACGAGAAGCCTTAAGTTTTGTGTTATAATTGGGTTTTGGAGGCTGTGATGCCACTATGACGGGGGTTTGGGGGTGTCGCCTGGGACGCATGTGACACCCCGATTCGAATGCAATGAGGGCGCAGATGAGTGCAGCGCCCTGTTGCATGTTGATCTACTGGAGAAAAGGGCAACAAACCAAACTATTGGTGCACATGAGTTCAGGCAAGCGTAAGCGCCAGCAGGCAGCTACGGATCGGGTGGGTGCGAGTGACGACTGGGCCCAGCAGCACCTGGCTACCTAAACACCCTCCATCGCTTCCATGCGACGCATGGCACCGAGTGACCGCTGGGCCGTCATCCCTGGCGACCCTGCTGCCCCAAGTATCTCGAGCGCATTTTCCAAGGTGGGTTTGGGTACAGTAGTATGCACGGCTGTAGAGGCGCACACGATTTTCGTCAATCTTGGAGGCGGGGGCGTCCTACCCGCCCGGCTGTTGTGCGACAGACTTGCGCATACTGAAAGCTGATCCATGGCACTGTGGAAGTTGACAACCAAAACACATGCACACACACACATGCACACACACACATGCAAACACGCTACCCTTTTGAGCCGGACGCCGTCATCCTGGAGGGCGCCGGCAGGGCCGCCTGCCCGGCGCAGCAGCACGATCACGATGTGTACTTGATGAGGGCAACGCGGGGCTACCACTGTGCGCCCCCCCCCCACCAAACACGAGCCCCTGCATGCCAAGGGACATGCGGCAGCTGGTGGCCGCGCTGCTGCATCCCGCACCCGCTGCTCGCCCCGTGCCGGCGCAGTCAAGGGGGCGCCCCTGTGCGTGTCGGTGCAGAGGGCGGAGCGCGCGGTGTGGGGGGCGCTGCTGTTCATGTTGCTGGTGCCCGAGGGGATGCCGCCGGAGGCTGGGAACAGTACGCAGGTGAGAGTGAGAACAAGGGGACTGCGAGATTATTGGGGCTGGGGGCTCTAGGGGTAGGTCGTTGACGCGGACCTTGGTGGCTTGTGGGGCTTGGAGTGGCTGCACTGTGGTGCAGCACGTCAAGGCTGGGGCGCAGGTGTGGTCAGCCCAACGAGCGCGCATGTGTGGACGCACACACCTCATCACCACACACAAAACCACCACGCCAGAGTGTCATCACGCACTGAGGTGAGCCAGCTCAAAGCTTTACGCGCTGCCACCAAGGGCTTGCCACAAACCAAAGAGCCCTGCTCATTTTTGCCCTGCTCATTTTTTCCAACTT